CAGAAAAATAAAACCTAGAAAGCTTTACGGGGGCTGCGTCACACATCCGGCACAATAGCCAGGGCTGCAAATTTGCAGCTGCCATCGCAAACGATATTGTTGCTAAAGGTTAATAATTTGCAATATCCGCTGCATGCAGCGCCACTTCCGGTTTCCGTTGTCCAGGCTAGTGCCAACCACACAACATTGATCCCAAAGACACACACACCTCGCTCCCTGCCCCGCTGCCCCTCTGCCCCGTTTGCCTATGCTCGCAAACAAAATCAGACAATTTTAATCCAGCTTTGAGCCCAACACACTCACGCACACGAGCATATCGCGTAATTTGAACAGCATGGGACCGCATTTTATAATTGCGACCCATTGTCTACTCCAAATGAGTAACTTTGCGGTAGGTCTGTAGCGCACGCAGCGCAAATTTATGGACGTCTCCAAGGTCCTTGCTGTTAGATTTTTCAGTTTTTCAATTTTTCACGTTACCCACCGACGGCAAATTTGGTAAGGCTTGAAAAGCCACAAAAAAAAAACTAAAGGATTTTCTAACACGGCATTTGACATACAAACATGTGCGAGAGAGTCCGGATGGCACATGTTTGAGAGTGTCCGATGTGATATGTTTGAGAGAGCGTACACAACACGTTTGAGAGAGCGTGGATAACATGTTTGAGAGATCAGCGTGCTGTTAAATCATGTTGCAGGCACATTAACCAACAGGTTCGGCTCGAACAGGACCCTAAAGGCCATTAAAAAGGAGCAGCACAAGTCAATACTGGTTCCATGTAGAAGACTATTTCCCAGTACGGAAAGTGGGAAATATAATGTATCGGGTTAATATATATATTTTAAGAATGTATTGTAGTCAAATGTTTTTGTTATTGTCGGTGTTTCAGCTGTGGCGCACGTGCTTCAATTAAGATGCAACAAGTTCGAAGCGCTAACGTTGCTATATGCTATCCTGTGTGACCAACTTCTTTAAGACTAGATTATTAATTGCATACTTTTGGGATGTAACTGTTCACCCAGCTCACTGTCGGTCTGTTTACCCACAAGGGGAGCTATTTCCATTGGATTGGTTTCCTCAGTATTGCAGTTTCTTTAACAGATTGCTGTTGAAATTCAAAAATTGCCTTATGCTTAAAGCGCAAAGCAACCGCAGCGCGGTCGGGGCTGGATTCTGGGTCTGGGTCTTCGCAAGAACAACATCAACACGGCTTTTATTGTCCGGGGACAATGTCTGAGGCAGGCACAACAGCAACGCCAACGCAACAAAAACAATGCAGGCACTGAGAACACTTACAACAACAACAGCAACAGCAACAACAACAGCAACAACAACATCAATAACAACATGAAGAATAGCAGCAGGACAGCGAAAGCTGCCGCTGTATAAGCTGAGGTTGCGTTCGTGCCGCGAGGGGCTAGTGCGGGCAGCGGGGCGCTCTAGTACTCAAAGTAGGCTTCATTCTAACACTTAACATGTTAAAATTACATTCGCTGCTGTTATTAGTTTTTTTCCCTCGCTTTTTTGTTGCTTGTTTTGCTCGTTAAATGTCAAGCAGAAAGTTGAGAGAAAGTCAATGACCGACAACCCTTAGCAAAAAAAAAAAATAAAAATAAAGAAAACAAAATGTAATAACAATAGCAAAAGTTTGTTGTTGGAGTTGAATAAGCGCACTTAGTTAGTGCACGAAGGGTTAGGGTTTTCTGTAGATGTTTTTGTTGTTCAGGTTTTTTGCATGGTGTTGAATATAAACTTCGTTATTCCATAGGCGCGTTGACAAGTTGCCAAACAATGCGAAATGAGCAACGCGAAATGAGATGAATTGCGTGGACCAGAAAATAAGCTGTGATCAAATTACATAGGCTTACAAATTTAAATTTGTAATATGATGCAGCATATACAATTAAATTGAAAATTTTTATATATTTTGTAATATTTAAAATATATAAATATATCTTAAACATATTTCTGTAAACAACGCAACAAAAGAATTCAATTTAAGATACATTTTTTAGCCTATGTAAATCAAAGTTGATATGCATTTGCCTTCTTGGCTTTTGCTTGCCAATATTGTATTAAAGCTTACTTTGCATTTTCTAACTGTGTGAAAAATTAAATTATTTATTTACTTAAAGCAAATGCAAATTTTATCAAAAAAGATAAACAAAACAGAAAACCGCATCGCTTGTGAAAACATCAGTTGCTTGCGAATGCTAGAAGCGTATTGTATAAAAAAGAACACAATAGTGAAATGGGGAAATTCAAGTAAACGTTACGTACACACACACACACACACACATAATACCAGGCAGCTCTAACAGTTGCCCGCTAACCCAAGTCCCCTTTCCAGACAATCCAGACTTGCCCACCTTCGGCAGGTTGGGGGCGCTGCTGGCGGTCGCATCGTAAAATCGCAGAGATCCAACCGCACTCAAAGAAATTATGCGAAAACAAAAATGCAGAGCTTGAGGGTAGCTGGCATTGAGCGAGAGAAAAGTGTGGAATATGGCAAACAAAACGGAACAGGCAACAAAATGGCAATACACATACCGCCACACACACACACACACACACGCACACACATGCGCCCATACCCATGCATGGTAAACATAAAAGCGAAGCGAGCTGCCAGCAAGCGAATAAGCAAACAGCCTTAATAAAAATTTCATTTCCTTAATCAAATGCATTATCAAATTACAAAAACAACAACAATATCGACAGCAGCAGCAGTAGCAGCATTGTAGGCGTATGGGCGTGCCGCAATGATGTGCAGCCACAAGAGGCAGCATAAAAAGAATTTTGTTACCCTTCAACCAAGTCAGCAGCCCTGTGGTTAATTTTTTTTTGCCAAGCCAACTTCAATTGATATAGGAAACACGACGCGCACCTCATTTCAGGTGCACAACTTAGCCGACAGCTCCCGAAGCACACAAATCCAAGTTGAAATTGTCAAGCGAAAGTTGGTACCAAACAAAACTTGCTTTGGTAAGAAGATACCCTATTATCTAAATGCCCCGCAAGAGCCTAAAAGTCAACTAAGTAACAAAGTAACAAAATGGCGAATATATATATATATACATATGTAATGTATATACATACATACATACCTGTAAATAATAAAAATTGGAAATTGTATAAAACACATAATAAACAAACTTGCGCACTCACCTTGTAACATTTTTTGAAACGCCATTCAAGTCCAATAGACACAGATTCTCCGTAGCGTCTTCGTTTAGTTTGCCTCTTCTTCATTTTTTGTCAACACACCGTTTCAACTGCTGCCCAATTTTAGTGGGCAGCCTTATTTATACTGCTGACTCTTCTTCTTCATTCTCTCATTTTATTTCTATACAAACACACACGCACGAACACAAACACACTATCTAAGTATACCGGACCGACGCGCACCTTAGACTGAAAGTCTAGCTTCAATTGGCAGCCTTATTTATACCGTTTGCTCTTCTTCTTCATTGATGATCGGACATGTGCGAGCACACACGAATGAACACGACATTACCGCCTCCTTCTTAAATTCGCAGCTTTATACTACGGGCTCTTCTTCATACGTTCGCTTTCTTTAACACACAAGCACAAACACACACGCACAAGCAGAATATCGCACCACTTTAACCGGACCGCCGCGCACCTTAAACTGAAAGTCTAGCTTCAATTGGCAGCCTTATTTATACTGTTGGCTCTTCTTCATTGATGATCGGACATGTACGAACACACACGAATGAACACGACATTACCGCCACCTTCTTAAATTTGCAACTCTATTTAAGCTGCACGCTTTTCACTTACATACACGATCTTTACCGAGCTGCATCACGCCTTCAACTGCCGCCGAACTTTAATCGGCAGCCGCACACACACACGCACAAGCAGAATACCGCACCATCTTAACCGGACCGCCGCGCAGATTAAACTGAAAGGCTAGCTTCAATTGGCAGCCATATATATACTGTGGGCTCTTCTTCTTTCAAACTCACATTGACGATCTGCTATTAACGAACACACACGAACGAACACGACATTACAGACTCGCGGCTTCAACTGAAACTGCAGCTTTAACTGGCAGCCATATTTATACTGTTGGCTCTTCTTCTTTCGAAATCAGCTTCACGATCTGCTCTTCACATTTGTATACAAACACACGCACACGCACAAGCACAATTCCGCTTACGGTTGCAAACGACTGCAAAATCCTTAATTGGTATTTTAATATCATATTTAAAAAATACCTTGCAATCGTAGCAACACTTGGGCACATTATTAAATTTGCATGACCAAAGAATAGTCGTTGAAAAGTCATCTCGACAATATAACAGTTAGTTTGATAGCGGCAATTGGGCCAATGTTCTGTGCAAACAAACACACATGATGTCTATTTCGTTTATAAGCTGAAAAATCAATGATTGCATTTGCATTTTGTTAGATTTCTGCTGGAATTCTGGAATTATGCCAACGTCTGCCGCGTCCTTAGCTGTTGCTGCTGCAATTGTTGTCGTTGTAGTTGGGCTTATTGCTTGTTGCTGTTGCTACCGGAAACATGGGCAAAAGGGCGGCAAAGGCGAAACGGGCGGAACGGGCGGCAGTAGCGACCGATAGCTCGCAACTGCAAATTCCTTTGGCATGGTGAGGAAATTAGAAATGGAAATTATTATCGTAATTCGTAATGTTGTTGTTGTTGTTGTTGCTGTTATTTCTGCTATCGCTGCTGTCATGTAATTGCACAGCAACACAAAACAACCCGAGCCCTAGACTTAAGCGCTTTAATTGTTGTAAATGTTGTTGGCTCTAAAGTGTGTTATTAGGCAATGGCTGGCCTGATTTTCAAGTTGTGATTTGGTTAACAAATTGCGCGTCGATTGAACTTTAAGAGGAGGACGAACGACCCTGTGCTCCGTCCCAATTGGATAACGTTAAGCTTGGCAAATATTTATACTGTTATATTCCAAAAGCTAATTGGCAAATTGTTGCATGCAAATTGTTAACATTTTATTGAATTTGCAAGTTTTTCTGTTTAATTTACACAACATATTAGCTGAATCATTATAATAAATGAATTTCAATTAATAAATTCCAGGAAAGCATAGTTGACGGCAACATATTCATACAATTTTCTAGTTTATCTATTTAACAGAAGATGGAAAATATGTAAATAAATGAAGCACATGAGAAAAACACATTTTTTACCTACGTATGCACATTTTGGCTCGAAACTTAATTAACCATATACATACATATAATTTGACATGTCTCAATGTCGTCTAACTGAAACACTATCCCACCAAGAAGGCAGCTCTCGACCCTCTCGATATGGCTCGATGTGGCACTTGATGAATTTTAAGCCGTGCACAACGCCATCCTTAACCTCAATCTTTTAATCGATTCTCCAGATGTTCCAAAGCAATGCAAAGCTTATGAGACAAACTTGATAAAAGTTAAGCATATTTACGAATTATACTTTCAATTTAAACTTTTAAATTCTTAACTATTTTTAGGAACGAATGAATGCATGCAATGACACTTGACTCAAAACCGATAATATCGAATATCGTGTTATCGTCACTAGAAATATCGATATATCGATATACGTATTCAGTTTTTGTTCTCTCTAGTCTATTGTCTGCATTTGTTTATGTTCTCCATTTTCTTGATCTCTTCACTAATTCAATTATCTCTTGAAGCTCGCCGAGCTTAGAGCTTCTAACTCTTTGTATTTATTATTAATATTCTTAGTATACCTTTGTAAATTGTATTTACCGTCATAATTGCGTTGTTTAGGGAACAAAAAGAATCGTATTTTCAATGAATTATTTGTCAAATGAACAAAAAATTTTCTACTGTCTCAGACGAACAGAGCTCAATCGGATATCATATGAATTGCCAATCTTTCTAAAAGTATCAGACCGTAGGAATCTACAAGCTATGGTAAGTACGTTCCATTAAATGCCAGTCAGGATTTGTACTCCACTGAAATGGCGCTTTCCGTACCGCAGGAGCCCCACAAGCCCCTGAAGCTAAAAATTAAGCTACCCACCCGGGTGCAGCCCGAGGTGATGCCCGAGCCGGGCGAAGCTGGGCTTTACACCAATAAGATTCACTACCTGCGCAAATATCTGCTGGACGAGCTGGTGGCCAAGAAGTTCGCCATGGACTTCATGGAGCCCGTGGACACGGCGGCACTCCAAGTGCCCAATTACTACACCATCATCAAGCGGCCAATGGATGTGGGCACGATCATCAAGCGGGTGCAGAACCGTTACTATCATCGCGTGGATGATCTGATCTGTGACTTCCGATTGGTAATTAGCAACTGTTTTACGTTCAATCGGCCGGGAGATGTGGTGTACCGTAACTGCCAGAAGCTGGAGAAGTTCTTTCATCGGGTGCTCAATAAAATGCCCAAGGGCGAGGAGAAGCCCAGCACCAAGGATCCACGCTCGTCGGGCAGGCAGCATGGCTACGAGAAGGCATCGGATGTGGTGCAACGTCAATGCCAGGAGCATCTGGAGAAGCTGCAGGCGGCCATTGCAAAGGAGGACGACCCGACCATTTGTAAATATTTTAACGCAAAACTGGAGTATTTGTCCCAAAAAGTAGACAGGTTTTACTTCAAGACGATCGAGGAGTTCCGCTTCGAGGTGACCGGCATCTTCAAGAATTTCGACAATCAGATTAAGCTGTTCCACGAACTGTTCCACAAGACCTGCGACCAGGATCCGCACCAGCGCTACTCCAACTGCCATTGGTCCCATGAGCTGGAGAGTAAGAAGCCACCGGAAGAGCAGGATTCAAATGTCAAACTGGACAAGCGGGACATAACCGAGGTGCTATTTGCACTCAAGCGAGCGGAGAGCAGTGTGGAACATTGTCTGAAGTCCTATTCCAGGGAGAAGGAGAGCCGTGCCAGGGGCTTGATCGAGGCGTTCGATGCCACAGCCAACCGGCTGAAGCAGAAGCTAATGAAGGGGCGCAGGGTCGAAATGAATAGAGATGAGAGGAGAAAGGAACAAATGAAATACTATGCCCAGATGCAGGAGCAGCGCGAAACGCAGGAGTCGATCACACAAGAGGAAGAGAACTCGCCCGAAAGAGACGAGCTGCCGGAGCAGGCCAACTCCTCCGACGAAGAGAAGTACGAAGCGCAGCCCGACGACTGCAACCAAGCCCACTTAACAGACACAAACGTCGATGTCGAATACGATAACTGCCAGCCTGAATACAATACAGATGAGCCGATCTCCAATGCGCCGATTAGCGCTTCAGACTTGCCAATGGAAAACTGGCAAATGTCCGAGACCGAAGCGCCACCCACGTGTACCTGGCCGGAGCAGGCCGAAAGCAATCTCTGCGACATGACGGAGCAGCTGGACGAGGCAGCAGCAGCAGCTGCCATTCCGGCAGACTCAACGCTCTGGACAGACTTGCAGCTGAGCAGCAGCAGCGACGACGACAGCGACGAATCCGACTCATCGTAATCCCTTTCGCGTTTGTATATTGCAAATAATCTGTATATATAGATATAATATATAATTGACATATATATCGAATCACTTTTGTTCATTTTAGGGACGCCCAGAGCTAGTCGATCCTACTCCGCTTAGGTGTCCATCCAATTGATCCTTCTTGGTATGTACGGCTTCTTTAATTTGTCCAATCCCGCATTGATCTGGTCTGAAATCTTACATTCCAGTTGCCAACTTATGGCTATGCCGCCTGCTGCTGATTGATTGGAAGCCCTGCTGCCGCAGGGTGCAATGACACGGGGCGGCCAATAAATTGGAGCACCTTTGAAGGGTTGCCCATATCCGTCAAATGCGCCTAAATGTAGGCGAATGTGCGAACTTTGCCAATCGATAAAGGTTACTCCTCGTGTGTTTTCCCTCCCACAGCCCCCGAGCTCGAAGTTGTCGCCTAGTTAGTTGGGTGCTCGGCGTGCTTCTGTGCAGATAAGGCTTACCGGTTGCAGGGGCGGTGGGAGGGGGGGGCATTGGTGCGCCAGGAGCGAGCACCTCAAGAGCTCTTCGTCGCTTCCGGCCAGTAATGCAAATGTCCAATTTTGCTTTGCAGCGTTTTCCTTCCATTCAAAATACATTTAATTGCGCGTTTTGTTGCCAAATAACTTCCGACTTAACCAGATCTCGGCACAAAATATTCAAAAAAAAAAAAAAAATAAAGGAAACAAAACGAAAAATGAAAATAAATGTGGAAATTCATTGATTTTCGTTTTGAGCCAAAACAACGGCATAAATGCAAAAGAGAAGTTCTCTTTAGACAGCCGACGATTAAATACCCTAACGCAAATGCTGCATATGCATAATATAAGACTATTATAAGTAGATTATTATTGGTATAAGATGATTATTAGATTTTGAAGATTTACACCACCCCCCTCCCACATTCAGCAGCAGTAAGATTCACGGAACGGAATAAATGCAAAAGAGAAAATCTCTTCAGACAGCCGACTATTAAATACCCTAACGCAAATGCTGCATATGCATAATATAAGACTATTATAAGTAGATTATTATTGGTATAAGATGATTATTAGATTTTGAAGATTTACACCACCCCCCTCCCACATTCAGCAGCAGTAAGATTCACGGAACGGAATAAATGCAAAAGAGAAAATCTCTTCAGACATCCGACTATTAAATACCCTAATGCAAATGCTTCCTATACATAATATAAGACTATTATAAGTAGATTATTATTGGTATAAGATGATTATAAGATTTTGAAGATTTACCCCACCCCCCCCCCCCCTCCCCCATTCAGCAGCAGTAAGATTCACGAAACGGAATAAATGCAAAAGAAAAGTTATCTTCAGACAGCCGACGATTAAATACCCTAACGCAAATGCTGCATATACATAATATAAGACTATTATAAGTAGATTATTATTGGTATAAGATGATTATAAGATTTTCGGGATTTACCCCCCACCCCTTCTGCAGCAGTAAGATTCACATTTAAGTGGCCTAATATACCCGCTTCAAATGTATTTATAGAGCATCAAATTAGCTACACAATACTTCAATTTAAATACGGCATAAGTTGGCGCCTTTTCCGCATCCGCTTTGACTCAGTTTCAAGGTGGCTGCTGCCTAATTTATTTCATTTGTATTCATTTGGCCACTTGACGAACGGAAAATTTATTCCGGCACTTGTCCTGCTTGAGGCTTCAATACAAAATTATAATCAAATCAAAACAAAAAAAAAAAATCCAATTACACGTAAATATTTAAATCGAAACAAAGGCAATTCCAACAACAATGGCGGACAAATACGCTGACATTTTATAAATATCGTTTTTTGATAAGCTAAGGCCATAAATAATCACCTTAAGCACATTAGGAACTGCATGAGAAACTGGAGAATAATATTGAAAAATTATGCCAAGCATTGTAAAAATATTTACAGAAACTGGTCTTAAATTAACTCCCAACAAGCACGAGAATTGAATCTGAACCCTTAAACCTCTTTAAATTCACATTTTATTTGAATTTTACAATTCCCACTGATAAGGGTTGGTTTGGCCCCTGCTAAATAAAGGGAAGTCTAATTCATTTTCAGACACCCCGAAAAACAAATTGGGGTAAGATTTAAAGGAAATTTCCTATACCCAGCTACATGAATAGCTCTTAGTTTTAGGGGATTTACATGCTATAAAGGATTTATGGCAATGCAGGCATGTTTTGAATAGTTACGCAAGATGGCGTTAAAAGAACAACCCATTTCCTTACAATATAGTTATTTTTTACACCCGCATTTTTCAATTTCTTACAGTTTTTTCTCTTCTCTTAACCTGTTATGTGTCTTCTTTTGTTATTTATATTTAAGCATCCAAAGAGAAAACGGAATAAAAAATATGATGGATAAAGATATTATTTTTGGCTCTCAGGTTTAAATATAAGATAATCTATAGCAAGGGGATTTAAGCAATACGAACATATTTATCAGCTAGATGTAAGAAAAGAATTGCGTCGAAATAAGGGAAATAATTCATGGCGAGCATTTTGCTTTAGCTAAATTGCCTTTTATGAATATGAAAAAAATGCTCAACACAATGTTTCAGTTGACTATAAAACAGTGCCGCCATCTTTTGAGCAACATAGTTATTTCCCAACTCGAAGTGCCGCCATCTTGTGTAACAATTAGTTTTAAATACATGCACCATAATATAAATTCCCTCTATAGTGGTATTACAAAATACAGCTATTTTCATAGAGAATATCCTATTTAGAGTTTTATGCCAGCCCTAAACAGATGGCGCACTGCAGTTTTAACCTGTCTGACACAGATGGCGCTTTGCCTTTAGTTTTATTCGAGTTTTCAATTCTATTCCGAGTTTTTTACAAATTCGTTATTAACATTCATATTCATTAGAATTCTTAGAGCTATACGCATATAACGTTCATTTTATTATAGTCAAAATATGGTTGCTCAAAATTTGGCTAAAATTTGATTAAGTAAGTTAACAAAACATCGTTGAAATTTCAATTAGAATCTAAATAATAATTGCAACTAAGCAGAAACAAGGACTAAGGCCATCCACAGCGTTTGTAGGCAAAGATATACTAATTAATACATATATATATATATTATGTGTTTGTATTATTTAGCAATTTGTTACTATTTTGGAACGGATTCTCTATGACTAGCTGCAAAGTTCAAGTGTCTTATTTAAAACCTAATTTGTTCTACGCATTCGGAAAAAACATTCCATTCCACACTTTCTCGAGCAAACCATAATCCGAATTGTTTAGATCAATAAATATGTTTATAATTACCCCACAAACAATTAAGTCTAGCGCCTTTTTATAAAAATATTCATGATCTTTAACCAACAATATGCATTTATCCGTATTATCCGTATCCTAATTACATATGTACACGCACACACATGCACACACAGCTCGCACACACACACACACAGACACACACGCACGCACATAGAATTTGCTTAGCTACTGGGCTCTCTTTTATATAACTCGAAATCAACGGATCAAAACTTGAATATTATAGCACTTAATTGGAGTATATGTTAACATAATTATTAGAGTTGATAAATATTTGCAATACGATTGCACAAGATACAAGTTTGTGATAGATTCTCTTTTTCCATCCGATCCATTCTATCCAAGAGAACTTTTACCCTCGCAAAATAGATAGACAATGTTTTCCCAATTAAAGGCTAGCATAATTACCCTCTCACATGAAAAAGCGCATTAAAGGCTAGCATATGAGAAAGGCAATTTTTCCAATTAAAGACTATCATAATTACCCTCTCTCATGGGAAAGGGCATTTTTTCCAATTAAAGGCTAGCACTCGCGAAATGTCATTTCTCCAATTGGAGACTATCATAATTACCCTCTTACATATGAAAGGAAATGTTAGCCAATTAAAGGCTAGCATAATTACCCTCCTCACGTAAGGAAATTTTGCCCAATTAAGAGGGTAATCTTAATTTTGAAAGAGAATTTTGCCAAGTAAAGAAAAGCATATTTACCTTTTCACATGAGAACTCTCTCTCGCTGTTAACGCGCTTCCACTTTCACCATATTTGGACTTGTCAGTCAGAGCTAATCTAAATTGTATCTTGTAGATACACAAGCTTGACTTGAGTATCTGCAAATGTGCCATGTCCAACAAGCAACCGACCTAGATCTCCTGCAGCAGTGCATCGGGCGTTTGAGGATCCGTTGTACTGCCCCCGAGCTCACCACTGATATCGCCCACCGATGATGACACCGCCGACAGCATGGTGGTGACAGTCGCATTGATCAGCTCCGTGCTGGTGCTCGCCACGGTGCTGTAGAGGGCCAGGGCCGTGGTGGTGATGACTGTGGCCAGTGCAGGTCCAGGCACAGCGCTGCTGGTGGAGCTGCTCTCCGTGCTGCTAATGCCGGAGATCGTAGTGTTCAGGAGCAGCGGCGCCAGTGTCGTATTGACCGCCATAGTCGGACTGGCGGTGGGCAGCAGCGGCGGCAGATGACCATGGTAGTGGTCCAGCGCCGAGGCGGGCGTATACGGATACATGGGACAGGGATTCTCCAGCTGCGGTCCCAGCATGCTCTCGAACACGTAGCCAATCAGCGAACCGGCCGTTAGTCCAATATTGTAGGACAGTGTCATTATGTTGCCGGTGACCTCCTTAAGGGTGCCCGGCACCTTGGCCGGAGCCAGCATCATGGGCAAGCTGCCCGCCAGTCCGTTGCTGATGCCCAGCGCTATGGTGAACAGAAAGGGCGCCGTCTCGCCCGAGATGATCGGACGATGGCGTGGCGCACAGCATAGTAGAAACATAGGGACCAGCACAATACGCAATCCTGACAGCAGGATCAGCTGTCGCCGCGACCAGGGATACGGACTGGCGGCCAGGATCTTGCCAATCACATCCGATGTATTGAAGCAGAACATCAGCAGCACGGGCATCCATGTGCGCAGCGCACACGAAGTGACCTCCACCTCGATGCCCGGATACAGTGAGAGGGTGACACAGTAGGCCAGGGCAATGCACACCATGTACGGATAGATGACCTGGGCGACGCGCCAGCGTGTTACGAAACCTTCGCGTATGTCGCCCAGCTTGCTGGGCCGGCAGCGACGCGGCGTAATCACATGCTCCACCTTGAAGGCAACCGTTGTGGGCGTGGCCGGCTCATGCGGCGTAGCTGGCAGCTCGGGCAACGGCCCAAGGCCCTCAATGATGCTCTCGCCAGCCGTGGGATTGGACAGCTCATAGACGGGATTGCTAAAGCTCAGCGTATTCGGTGCACTCGTACCGGCATGATGGGGTCCAGCCGTAGTCGTAGTCGTAGTGCCGTCCATGGACAGAACACCATACTTGGTGCTGCTGGTGGCGCCATCAATCTCTTGCTGCGCCGAACAATAAGCATGTATTAGGTCAACTATTCTCAGCCCACAGATAACTCCGTGTCACTTACCTCATCCGGACGCAGAACAATCTTGGAGCAGGCCTCCACGTGAAAGCGCACAAACGGCGAGTTGATGGTGGCCAAGTGCAGCAAATAGCTGAAGAGTATGTACAGCGTGGAGGTCAGAAAGAAGATGACCGTCGAGACGCGATCATTGTTGATGAGCAGCTTGGTAACCACGCGATTGGAAGACACCAGAAATCCGGCAATGCTCTCGCCGGCCATCACAGCCTGCGTGTACTGCTTGGGCAGCATTGAGGCGAATCCATAGAAGCTCGACTGCTGCACCGTGCAGCCAATGGCGGTTAGAGCCACCGCAGACATGTTCACAACATACGCCGTATTCGTGGCGAACATGTGCCAGGCCACCTCGCAGACGGCCACAAAGATCAGCGTGGTAAAGGACACCATGTAGCCAAAGAGGACGCGCGTTTGGAACGGCGCCAGCGACAGCACAATGTTGTTGAACAGAACCGTGCCGAAGGCCACAAAGATGTACGTCATGGACATGTCCAGAGCCACCGGACGACCCGGAAAGCGTCCCTGCCAATAGTCCGCGGCGATAATGAAACTGAAACAGAGTTACGAATGAGATTTAATAACGAAAATTGTGGAACTATTTACTAATTATATTGCATATAAAATACATACATACATACATATATTTTATGCGAAAAGTAACTGTAAATGGTTTGGCCATATTATAAAACAGATTTCAATTAAATATCGCCCAACAATTATTTCACTTTATCGAAAAATGTCATTTATAATAGTTTTCTACCCGTTCTGCACATTTGAATATTTGTTTAATAAGCAAAAATAAACACTTTTTAATTTCTGGCATTTTTAGGCTCAATTTGTTTTCATTTTTGGCGCACACACTGGCAGAATTTGTGTGTGTGTGAGAGAGAAAGAGAGAGCGAGCGGTGTAGATGGCTATTGCGCTTACGCCTACTGTAGCCACACTTCGAATCCCGTTACCTGGAATCACTTGAAACAAACATTAGCGAATAGTGTGACCGCAGATTTTTCAATACTCAATTGTTATTGTATTAGTGGAAATTGGGAAGTGTGGCAATTTAATCTGTGCGCGTGCTTTATCTCATTTGATCGCTATTTTTCGTACGTCGTCGCGATTAATTTTAGTTAAATGTCATTTATATTACTGTTCTAATAATTCTCCATACCTAAAGTTTAATTAACAGGCTGTGAGAGAGAGAGAGAGAGAGAGAGAAGGATGGAGAGAGCGAACATTGCAATAGAAGAGATAGCTATTGCTCTTTCTTTCCAACACTTGTAACAACTTGAATCCCGTTACCTGTTCTCGCAAAAAGCGAGCATAGCGAATAGTGTGATCGATGCTCCTTGATCGATAAAATGACATAATTATATTTTATCAGCGCAAATCGTTATCGCTAGAAAGCTTTAATGCTTTATGTATGTGATGGAGGTGCACACTTCTAGGAAAATCCACCCGCAAATGTAAAAATATTGTGAAAAACTTTTGTATGAAATTTTTTCGAATACCATTTGATGTGCCTCAAACTCATTTTCAAAGATCTATGTTTAAATTCACTTGAGGAATATTTCACACTTTTCGAAAACTCTATTCCTCCTTGTCATTTTCAAAGATCTTATTCATTTGAGACTTGCTTCAGAATATTCGCAAAACTCTTGAGTGGATAATGCGGTTCAACAGATTCTGCAACGTTTAGTTCTTTCTTTGATGGACTTTTAATATGTACTTCAAATAAACGCACGGAAACTGTCTGAAAAGGAAATATCTTAACGAGCAAGGCCGGGTAATTGTTCAACAGGATATTAGCTCGCATTGCAGACAGTAAATAACTAATACGATTCACATAATTTAAACCTGTGTCAACTTTGATACATGTCAATCAAACAAACGCAACTAATCAATCTTTGTCTTTGCAAAGCCCATTCATACGGCCCACGCCCACGTCTACGCCCACTCCCATTTCCACGCCCACTCGGATTCGCATACCCAATCGCATTGACATTTGCACATTCATTTGCACTCACCTATTGTAGGGCAAAACAAATCCAATGCCTGCTGCAAGCAGTGCCAGATAGACGGCATGTCTCTGGTCCTTGGGGGCGCGTGTATCGTATTCGGGACTATCTATGCTGGTCGGATGCCTCATGCCATTGCCCGATGCCCGTCCGCTGCGCCCCTCCAGAGGCTCATATGTGGTGTCCTGTGCGCCCACGTCCATTCCGAATTGTGCTCCTTCTCTTCTTTGGGTGTGCTAACTAGTTTTTTGTTTTGTGTTTTGTTGCAGTCGTTGGTTTATTTATTTATTTATTTATTTTTTTTGGTTTATAGTTTGATATTTAGTCGATGCGCGTTGCAGTTGACTTTTGCATAATTTATGCGTTAAAATCGACACGCCTGCAGCGCAGGGAATAGCTAACGTTGTATGCTCGTCATACGCACACGCATACAGGGTGCTGTCTCTGGGTGCAACACGGTTATTTGTGGCACACGAATCGATAAACAGCAGACGCAAGTTGTTGCTCCACTGGCTGCGACTCGCCTTTGGCAGTAATCGAATGTAAATTCAAATATGCCAAATCGACACGCACATTTTCCAATTTATGCATCTCTTGAATTGCGCTTTTTTTTCAATTCAATTGCAATTCGCATTCGCCTAGTTACTTTTTAAGAATTATTTTTTCCGTTTATTTGCATTTGATTTTTAAATATTTTTATTTAAAACCTGGCCAAAGCGTACACACGGCATGCACCACCAATTTGCCATTCCATTGCCAGCGAATGTCCTGCTCACACGTTTTTTTCTCACCACAATCCAATTCCACCCTTTCACCATTTCACCAGTTCACCATTTCACCTTGACGCACTGCGCATGTGGCGTATGATTGATTTAGCTTTCCACTTCGCGAACGAGCTAACCAGCATTCACTTATCCTTTGGACGTTGAGCTGACTGGTTGACATCGCTCCTGACTACTCCTCAAAAATAAGCTCCAGATTTTTGGTATGTATAACAGTGAAAATTTTCTCTTTTTTTTTTTTACAAGTCTGAGAAAAACTTTTTCCTTTTATATTATCAAGTGCATAGCTAAAGCAAATATATTTCCTCAGCTTCTCTTTTGCAAGCATTAAGCTTGGCTTTAAGAAGATACAAATTTAAGATTTTTTTTACAATAAACTTTACTAATTGCTTTTTTCTAATGTATATTCACAGGGCCTAGCAAGAAGATGTAGAGGACCGCATAAAATGTAACAGGTACACAATTAATTAGTAAAGCTATTGAACAGGTAAGAAAAAGCCAATTTATTAATAATTACGTATTAAAGAAAAACACAGAACACACAACAAATCATAAAAAACATCAAATACATTAAGTATCAATTACATTTTCATTTTTATGTATCTATCTGCGTGAAAATTTTCAAATATGTATCTCTGAATATGCATATACTTAGTATGTATCTATATACTAGGTGTGTCCATAGATACATATCATATACTATATACTAGGCGTGTCCATAGATACATACTATGTATATGCATATTACTATACATAGATACATACATCTTTGCGTATGTACATACAAATATCTCTGAAAATTGATGCACAGATATAATGAAAATTTTATTGCCAGTAATATGCAGTGATTTTCAAATATGTATCTGTGCACAATCTTTCAGGTAGGTAGAGAAATACTTATGTATACACTAGGTGTGTCTAGATACATGCTATATACAACAGGTGTGTGTATAGATACACACTATATACATATATAAATGCATATTACATGCATAGATACACACCATTCCGTATATGTGCACATAAATCCATCTGAAAATTGATGCGCAGTTAATACAAATGAAAATTTTACTGCATAAGATATGCAATGATTTTCAGATGTGTATCTGCGCAGAATTTTTCAGGTGGGTCCACAGATACATACACTTTCTAGAATGTATCTAGACTTTAGGCTTTTACATACTATTTCGCATATGTATATACAAATCCATTTGGAAATTGATGCGCAGTTAAATACAAATGAAAATTTTATTACATATGTAATAATTTTCAGATGTGCACCTGCTCAGAATTTTCAGGTGGGTCCATAGATACATATACTTTTTAGAATATATCTATATACTAGGCGTGTCCAGATATATACTTCTTCGAATATGTACACATAAATCCATCTGCAAATTGATGCGCAGTTAAATACAAATGAAAATTTTACTGCACAAGATTTTCAGATGTGTATCTGCGCAGAAGTTTCAGGGGGTCCACAGATACATATACTTTTTAGAATGTATCTAGACTTTAGGTGTATCTACATACTATTTCGCATATGTATATACAAATCCATCTGCAAATTGATGCGCAGTTAAATACAAATGAAAATTTTATTACATATGTAATAATTTTCAGATGTGCACCTGCGCAGAATTTTCAGGTGGGTCCATAGATACATATACTTTTTAGAATGTATCTATACACTAGGCGTGTCAAGGTATATTCTTCTTCGTATATGTCCATATAAATCTATCTACGAATTGATGCGCAGTTAAATACAAATGAAAATTTTATTACATATGTAATAATTTTCATATGTGTATCTGCGCAGAATTTTTCAGGTGGGTCCACAGATACATATACTGGTTCGTATATATCTATATACTAGGCGTGTCTAGATATATACTTCTACGTATATGTACATATAACTCCATCCACGAATTGATGCGCAGTTAAATACAAATGAAAATTTTATTACATATGTAATGATTTTCAGATGTGCACCTGCGCAGAAGTTTCGGGTGGGTCCATAGATACATATATGGTTTCGTATATATCTACATACTAGGCGTGTCTAGATACACACTATTCCGTATATGAACATACAAATCCATCTGAAAATTCATGTAGTGAAGCATACAAATGAAAATTTTATTACATATGTAATAATTTTCAGATGTGCACCTGCGCAGAATTTTCAGGTGGGTCCATAGATACATATACTTTTTAGAATGTATCTATACACTAGGCGTGTCAAGGTATATTCTTCTTCGTATATGTCCATATAAATCCATCTGCAAATTGCTGCGCAGTTTAATACAAATGAAAATTTTATTACATATGTAATAATTTTCATATGTGTATCTGCGCAGAATTTTTCAGGTGGGTCCACAGATACATATACGGTTTCGTATATATCTACATACTAGGCGTGTCTAGATACACACTATTCCGTATATGAACATACAAATCCATCTGAAAATTCATGTAGTGAAGCATACAAATGAAAATTTTATTACATATGTAATAATTTTCAGATGTGCACCTGCGCAGAAGTTTCAGGTGGGTCCATAGATACATATACTGTTTCGCATGTATCTATACACTAGGCGTGTCTAGATATATACTTCTTCGTATATGTACACATAAATCCATCTGCAAATTGATGCGTATCTGCGCAGAAGTTTCAGGGGGTCCATAGATACATATACCTTTTAGTATATATATATATTCGTATATGCATCTTCTTCGTATATCCATCAGCGAATTGGCGTACTGATACATACAAATGCAAATTTTATTGCTTATGTAATGATTTTCAGATATGTATCTGTGCACAATTTAAGGGTTGTTCCCAGATACATATACTGATTAGTATGTATCTAGATACATACAACTTCGTATATGATTGATTGCACCCTCTTGAAGCTTGCGCATAGATAATTTTCACACAGGTAGATACACATTTATACTCATGCGTACAAAAACGCACCCTCTCTCAGTCAGATACATGCAAAACTGAATTGAAAATGTTCCATTAGCTCTTTGGCTAATGGAATATTTGTTCAGAACAGAACAACTCGCCGTTCGTGATGCTTTGCTTTAAATAGTGAAAATACTGACTTTGCGTCCTGAGTCCAGCCCGACCCCTTTTTCACTACTCAAAGCAAAGGCAACGGTGCGCTGTTCTGTTAAAAATATCAGCATAAGCTGAAAATTCATTGTACATACACACAAAGTGAAGCTTGGAGCTAGTGAAACGCAATTAAAGATAATGTGGTTCAGAAATTTGCAACTTAAACGATATCCCGCACTTGTCGCTGGCTATCGTGCAAGTCATCGTTAATGTTGCCGGATTCTGTGACCTTAAAAAGCAACAAAGTGGACGTTAAAAGAATATTATACAATAAAAAAGTCGATTGAAAAGTTGGTACTTATATCCCGAAGGCCACCTCCTGCATCTACAAGCAATCAATCGCTTACCCTAGAATATGTCTTAATTATATTTTTCTGCTCCTTAGTTTTCTGACAGAGTGAACTGAATCTGAAGCCATCGGCCTATGCAGCTATACAGCGCAGCGTGGAATGAGTGCGTCATCAAAAGAAACTGATTTTTAACACACAAAAGTTTTTAAGTAATATTTATATATGTATATATTTAAAATATTTATGTTCATATTATATTGATATAACAATAGTTTTCATTTATGTTAATAGTTGATAAGAATTTAATAAAAATATAAAAAGCAAATAAAAACATCTGTTAACAGAAACATTGTGACACCAACTAAATAAAATTTGAATTGTATTAAATTAAATATTTAGCAGAAAACAACAATTTGGTGTTTTTAATTTGGTTGAGACCTTTCAGCGGGCATTAACAGCCGAAATGTGACATTTTTTAATACAATAAAATCGAAGTCTTGTCTAATGGCCAAATTTAACAAAGCGTTACTTTAATTATCAACATATTTTCGCAGGCTAGGCCAAAATAATTAAGAGAAAGCTCTATGATATAATGCTAACAGCAACAGGCCTTAATTTATAGTTGAACGTAGAAAACTACGTGTGCCCTTGTGTGTAATTCTAATCGGAATGAGCCGTGCTTGTGTTGAATATATTTTAAATTTTGACAGGCTAATTTTATTGTTGTTTCTTTGATGCATCATCGTAACTGGGTGGCAAATTCTGCAAAAGCACAAAATGTATTTTATTAAAACGGAATTATGCAATATGAGACGCCTACGTACATTATATGATGGCGGCATTTCGCTGGAACCGGATGCACCGGGTCCGCGCTGATTATAGGGTGTATTATAAGCGCTAGCAGCCGCTTCCGCTTCCTTAGAATCTATGAAAAGAAGCAAGAAAACAATATAATGGTAGTAGATGGAAATATCTGAAGTAATAATAATAAAATTGTACAAAAGCAACAATGTCTTACAGTCCTTTTTTATGGATATATAACAGGTATTGGTATAAAACACAAAGTTCTTGCGACTGGATAACAATGGGGATAATAATAATATTGCGTGCTGCTGGTTCCTGCAAAGTTTGCATGGAAAAATCAAAAGAGAAAGAAATCATTATACTAGTTACTAAATCGAAGATATCGAAAATTGCAAAACTTTAGGCTCGGCTTTTGTTGGAAATTTTAACCAAAATAAATACGTATTTATATACAAATTTATAAGCGAATTGCGAAAATCTTACTTGGCTGTTTTGCGGTACAGTAGTAGTTGTGTACTAATTTTGCAGTTTACACTGTGAAAAAGGTAAAGAATAAAATTGTTTCAGATGCCAGATTTAGAATGAGGCTTTTGGTTTAGTAACTGGTTAGATTTCGGCGAGTAAATTAGGCACAACAATACAATGGAAAGGAAATCAAACTACAAACTAAAAATAAAACTAAATCAATTAAATGATACTAAGTAAAGATTCCTACTCGAAGCTATTGAGTTAAAGTTTTAAAAAGCATTTTATACAGGCACTAAAATAAAAATAATAACAAACCAATTTGCATTCATTAATGATAAAAATTTGCCGATTTTAACGTACGGCTCATTGAGAAAACTCCAATTTGATGCGCTTGCATTGCCTAATTTGTTTTAAACGTGACTTGATCATTTAATCTGAACAACAAAAATATGAATGATGGGTTAATAATGATGTGTCTGTATCAAATACTCACTTCCAGGTGGCAAGCTGAAGCCCATAAAGTTTGCTGCAGCCGCACCGCCTGCTGCATTGGCCGCAGCACCAGCAGCCGGGGGTTGCTGTGGAGGAGCAGAGCCTGGATAGCCGTTGGGTTGCTGTGCCGGAGCAGAGCCTGGATAACCGTTTGGTTGCTGTGCCGGAGCAGAGCCTGGATAACCACTAGGTTGCTGTGGTGGCATAAAACCTGGTTGCATAAAACCTCCGGGTATATTAGGATTAAAGCCCCCATACGGAACCTGTGGACCTTGGCCAGGCGCTGGCTGTCCGCCATAGGGTGGCAGCGGTTGGCATGCCGGAGCACAGGATGCGTACGGCGGCGGCTGTGCATAGCCACCACCCCATCCTTGGGGACCATAGCCAGGCTGTTGTTGCGGCTGCTGCTCTGGTGGTGCTGAAAAACCATACCAAGTCGGTTCAGTCGGACTCTGTTGCGGCTGTGCTTGTGGTGCTGGTTGATTGTTTGGTGGTGCTATAAAAAAATATACAGAAAGAGATGGATTGTGCAAGGGTGCTTTAGAGTTAGAAAAAACGTGAGCGTGTTGCTTATATTCATGCCGGTTTTTGGCCAATTAAAACCAGCGCAACATCTGTACGGAAACAAAAGCCGAGAATGGGGAGCGGAAAAGCTGCTTAGAATCGAAAACTTACTCATGCCCGGATACGGCGGCGGGTTGTCGCTTACAAACACAGTGTTCGGAGCCGGACCACTGAAGGCATCATGCTGCGGCAGCCAGCCGTAATAGCCGGGTGGTGGCTGGTAAGCTGGTGGAGGAGCCTCATGCCAGGCACCAGATGGCACGTACGGTGGCGGATCATCGCCAGCAAGTCCGCCGCGATGGAAGTTGCTTTGCGCCGTTTTAGCGGCGCGCAGCAACGCTTGTCCATACTCAATGGCTCCGCCTGCCTTGAAGTACAGCTTGAACTTGACCTCGCCCACATAATTGCCATTGGGCTGTGCACGGACCTTGCCCTTAATGTAGTTCGCTCCAAAAACGGGTTGCTCGATTTCAACCTAAAATACAGCAATGGGAAATCTAGAGGCAGGCAGGGAATTAACAATATATACATACATCGGAAAGAGCCACAAAGGGAGCACTGAAGGATTGCATTACATCGCTGGATTTCTTGCTGTTGAAAATCATCCTATGCGATGTTAGATAAACGCGTCCCTGCTTCGAGCCCTTGAACAGATGTCCGTCCTGTCCGGAAAACTCCATTGACACGCTATCGCTGTGCAGTAGAATGCTGGGAAAATAAGAAGATTTGACTAAGCTGGGTTTTCCATCTTATCGCAACAAAAGTCATGCAATTAGCGGAAGCTGTTGGGTTTCCCGCAACATTGCGAAATATACGTCGGTCTGTTCAAGGCCAGATAAATTAATTCGCTAAGTAATCGTTCAATAAAAGCCGTTCTAACGAATTCTCTTAAAACATAGAAGCAGGCTCTAGATTTTCATATAACGTCAGACGAAGGCAGAGGCAGCCACATAAAAGAGTTTGCGGATAAAATTGTACTTACTACTCGCCCGCATGTATGAGCACACCATTATTTGCGTGTGCCGTGTTGACCGACATGCCGAATAGATTTTTCAATAGGTAACACAAAGATTTCCACGACTTATTGTAAATTGCGTTCTGTATTCGTGTTGTTTTCAATCTAAACTTTCTCGAATTAATGACAGCTGATGAATCACGAACAGTGTGTACACACGTGCTGCGATGCCGCATTGGAATGCCTAAAAAATACCACATTTTGGCTATTGCGCTATTTACAGCAGCCCTGCAGGTCAATAAAAAAAAAAATGGTGCAGCAGTCCTACACGGCACAGCCAGAGTTAAAATTTTGTTAAACAATTCTCATAGCTGGAGAGTATTTGCTTAAAAATAAACCAAAATGATGGCAAAAGCAATGCGTGTGCTTTTAACAAACAGAGCGCATGAAAGTTATGTGCAGCTATAACGCAGCGTAACTTATTGGTTACCATAATACCGAAAATGGTATATTTCGTGTAGTTCACATAAGACAATTTTCGAATGGCGTTCAATTATGCAAATTTGGCTGAAAATATGTGTAAGTAAGAGCTTTAATATGGAATGCACCCAATCAGTGCGCATAGCATGCTAATTTTTTGTTAAAAGCGGTTTAGTTCATGGTCACAGGCGATTGTTATGCCTACAAATAGACAGCACCCACAAGTCAAACAAATGAAAAAAATACCAGACCAGCTATCATGTTTCGCTTTGTGCGCTTACATATTGCTCTCTCTCGCTTTGCTGTTTGGTTCGTGCTTGACAAACAGCTGATTTGTATTTGTTATTTTTTTTCTTCTGTTGTTTTTTGTTTTCTTTGCCCTACTACCGGTCTGACAGTTGGTTATACCCGTTTTCCTCTTTGTAGTACCAGTTTTTGGGAGTATGCCAAGTGGCGTCGGCTTGCCAAATCATCCGAATTTTATTAATCAATTGGCGGCTGCTATTAATACCGCCACGGTGGGCGTGCCCACGCCAACGGCTACGAACAGCAGCAGCGCATCGGCGCAGACAGCCACTCCACTCAAAACAGTAGCCAACAAGTTAAAGGCGCACAATGCGCAGGGCAGCGCTCCAATGGATTTGGAAAATGATAACGAGCTGGAAACCTCGGATGCCATGGCGTCTGGCAAGCCAGCGGATAAACTACCTGGCACAACTCTGTCCCTGCCCGACGCCCAGCAACTATATTTAAATGGTCTGATGCACACGCCACCCGGCTACTTGTACTTTCCTACCGCACAGGGCGCAGCCGGCGCTACAAGTGGCAACACACCTTCCTCAGCCAATGCATCTAATGCTAATGCGCAAATGCTGTTGGATCCCTCCGCGATGATGGCTGCAATGCAACAGATGCAACATAACTATGGAGCGGCGGGTTATGTGGCCGCAGCGACAGTTGCTGGCATGCCAACCGATGGCTCGGGATCGGGTATAGATGGCACTTTGGCAGCTGGTAAGTATTGGTCTATATGAATCGGCTATCGGGTTAATATTTGTCTTACAGACGGCACAGCTACTGCATCTGGTCTGAAGGAGGTTATTAAAACAAAGAATTGCATATTGTTCCCACCCAATCCGAATGCACCGCCGCCCACTATACGCGAACGTCCGCCCGGCTGTCGTACAGTGTTTGTGGGCGGCCTGCCAGAGAACATAACGGAAGACGTGATTCGTGAGATATTTGAATCGTGTGGCGAAATCACCACACTACGCATGTCGAAGAAGAACTTTTGCCATATACGCTACCGGCATGAGTCAGCCATAGATCGTGCCATTTACTTGTCCGGCTACCGGTTACGCATCTCAAGCTTAAATGAGCCACCCAACTTTGGACGCCTGCACGTGGACTATGCTCAGGCACGAGACGATCAATATGACTACGAGTGTAAGCAGCGTCAGCTACAGCGGGAGCAACGTCACCGGGAGCGCATGTCGCTGGATCGCATGCGTTCGCAATCGCCACCGCCAATTCCGCACTATACGGATCATGAGGCCACCGCTGTGGCGGAGCATCTGCGTAATAACGAGACGTTTGTGAAGGCCATACAAACTATTACCGCATGGCTGGAACGTGGCGACTGCACCAAGCGCAATGCGAACGTCTTTTACTCCATGATTCAGAGCACGCATGCTCATGTGCGTCGCCTGCATACCGATAAGCAGCAGCTGGAGGAGGATCTGCGAAAGGCGCGCGAATGCTATCGCAAGCAAATGGGCACCATGTCAACGCAATGTAAGTGGCATCTTTTGAAATCCTATTTTGTAGTTTTTAGCTGGGTTTTAGGTGCGCTCCTTTTCAACTTTTCTGTTTTTGTTGCGCTCCGGTTAGCGTCTAGCGTCTGTACCATGTACAATCAAAATAATAAAAACAACAAACACACTAAAACGTAAACAAACACAACACACACGCTTACACACCCACAATCTTTAGCAATTTAGTCATCGTGCTATCAAAAGCCAAAACAATACCAATTCCACATTCAAGAATTCACTGTCTAAAATTTGCTCTCAAAGTACCAGACAAAATGCCAGGTGAGGGAGCAAAACAAGCAGCAACCGTCGCAGGTAAAAGTTCAGTCACAACAGTCCTGCACAGTGGACTAAACTCGATTGAAAAGCGATCAAATGAAGATGATATACTACTTTACTCAGTTTCTTTTATGACTTTCCTTAAGCTATGAGTCTATGAGCCAGTGCAATGCTTTAAATTGTCTAATCTTTTGTTTAGAGTAAAAGAAATCATTTTAAGTTTAGACCATAATTTGTGAATTAAAATTTCTTTATTTGTTGTTTGTTCCGAACTTCTACGAATACGTTACGAATCGCATTTCGATCGCAATATCGTTATTTTATGCCACTGTGCAGTTACTTGTTTCACTGTGTCTGAAGACTCAACATAGGAATACATATATACATATGAAAGTGTAAGTCCAGGCCAAAGGTTTGTAAACCAAGCAGTGATATTTTGATAAAGCCCTCGGACCAGACACCAACCGCCTTTCTTTCTGGCTGTCTGTTGAAAACAACTAACAACTAACTGCAATTGAAGTCTTTAAATAAATACATATCTATGATACACATGTAGGTAACAAGCTGTTGTATAATATTTTTAGACTGTATTATATACTTATATAAACTATACAAAATATTATGCTATACGAGGGTCTCTTAAGTAGTTTTTTTATTCCAACTTATTATTTTCCACTAATTTGATTAGAAAACGCAGACTAGTTAAGCGGTGAAGAATCAAATCAACAACAAGAATAAGAAAACCCAAAAAAAAAAAGAAAAACAAAAAATATCTACCCTCTGCCCTCCCTTAATATTATTATATATTATTGCATTATTGTTCAGTCACTCAGATTGAAAAAGTGTTCAATGCCGCTAGTCACAAGAAGGTTTGGGACCATTTCACCAAAGCCCAAAGAAAAAACATCGACCAATGGAAGAAATTAGCGACGGTACGTACAAAAATGTTCAAAGAATGTTGTATTACGACAAGTTCAGCTGTTGATGATATCGTATTAAAAAACACACATACTTATTGTGGTACTCGCGCCTGTTCTAATTGTTCTGCCAGTATTGATAGTCTAAACTTTTAATTAGTATGTTTGTTATCATCGTTTCGTATCTGTCTGCATGTCAATTGCTTTTCCCCTACCTATCAGGTTGCTTTGTTGCAACTTGGTTTCGTTTCCATTTCACTTTAATTAATTAACTAGTTATTAAATCGAGCTATTTGCATAGTTTCAAACACATTTTATATTAGCACTCACATTTTTACTGTCGTTCTACGTTTGTATTTGTTTATCACGTATATTTTAAATTATTTTATTTAGTTTTGTAATTAATTATTGAAATTGCAATCTGTAGCTTCTTTTAATTCAACATTTTGAGCTTGATACATTATCGCTAAAGTACTTTCATCTGCTTTTCATACTTTAAAATTATCTTTGAAATATTTGAGTTAAGTTGTAAAATTTCTTCTTTCTATATGATAAACTAACTAATCATTTGCATTACAATTTCGATAAGCTTTCAATTTCCACTTTAAACTAAAAGTAACTTTTAGCCGAATGCCAAAGAACTTGTATAATATATTCAGCTGGCAATTTATTTAATAAAAAATATCAAATAAATATTAAATCAAATTAAATTCATAAATAGCAAAAACTTTGCAAGTTTCTAAGGCACTTACTGCGTTTCATTGGCTTTGCAATTGCGTTGGTAAACAGTAAAACCTAAACATATTAAGATAAAACTCATTGTACAACATTTAACATGTTACATACAAATAATAAGTAAAACAAAACAAAAAGAAAAAGAGAAAATAATACAAATTAAGCGAGCTTTTTTAAATGTGGCGAGGTAAGTAAGCGGACTGAAACAGTACGAAGAGCCAAATGAGAATTTTTATGATGCATTTTCAATATACAAACAAATTATAAAATTTAGGCTATAGAAATTACCATCGTAAGCTGTGGTTATGCAACAAGAGTTATTCGATTCGTATATCACAATTAATTAACGATCAAAAAATACATTTTGAAATGCCATACAGGAACTGCGCACGGTCCAAATCGACGACGATGAAATGGAAATCTCAGATGATGAGCGCGACTATGAGAGGCGCAGCAAACGCACCCGCTACGACAGCGATGGACTCAAGGTGAGCAGCAACAATTGTTTCCTTAATTCAAAGTTTAGTCAATTATTAACTCCCCTTTTTAGGATGAGAACGACTCGCTGCGCTGTCAGTTGGAGGCCATACGCAATGAGATGTCAGTGGAGCGCAGCGATTGTGTGCAGCGGGAGAAGCAAATCAAGGTGCTGCAAGAGACCATACGCAACATGCAGACGCAGCTGTTGCAGACGAAGCTGCGCGAGCAGAAGGACTGCAAGACCATCGAGCAGCTCGAACGGAATCTCAAGGAAGCGGGCGTCAAACAGCTGTTGCTCAAAACCAAAATCAAGGAGACTGCAGATAAGCTAAAAGACAAGGAAGCCTACAGCACCAGCGTTTCAAATGCTTCCAATGCCGATTACAGCAGCGGTGACTCGTGCAGCCGAAATGCGGATGATCTCAGGCCAAGCGAAAAGAAGGATATCGCACTGGAGCTAGAAATAATTGATATTGATAAAGTGGACGACGATGTGCGCATTATTGAGCATCAAAGCGGCGTGGTCGAAATTCATGAAATCGAGGATGATGAGAAATCGCAACCAGCTCCAGAGCCAAACAAAGTTGTTGATGAAGCCAAACAATTGCCCATTGCCGATCCATGCCCCAACTCTAACAACGTGGTAGCAGTCGTG